TGCAGGCTTGAGTGCCCCCCCGGGCTGTCAGGAAGGCCACGGAAGACAAGCAGGGACAAGTGCGCCAGGGCCTGGTGACACCCTACCAGGACCGCACACAGGCACGGGTGAACCAGGCGGCTGCTCCCCGGGCAGAAAGCAGGGCCCCGAAACGGTCATTTTTATTCCCCCGTTCTCCAATTATTATTTTATTATTATTAGTTAATGTGCATCCGAGGCCCGACTAGCCAAAACTAATTCCAGATCCATGAGTCCAGAACTGTAAGTGGCCCTACTACCGGCAGACATCCTCCACCCCCATCTGGGGCTTCAGACATTTCCAGAACCTTTGGCGGGCATCCTACTTGGAGGCCCAAGCGCAGAGGCTTGTGGGGTTCGGATGCCCATTGGCAACGCATAGGGGCTGCACGTGCACCCCCTGAGCATGGCAGTGCACCCCTCCCCCCCAGTAGCCAGCGGGACAGCGCCAGCAGTGTCTGTAGGAGCTCCCCGCTTACTGCCGCCACGCTCCTGCCACCGTGCTCCTGTCACTGCTAGTGTCACTGTGCTCCCCCAGTGCCATTCATGCAGATGCCCCCCCAGTTTTGCTTGCCCTCAGCTGTAAGGCCCTCAGAGCCAGCAAGAGAGGAGACTCCCATCTCTATAAACTGGGCTTAAAGCCGCTGCACATCAGCGGGTACTGAACCACACCAGAAGAGCAGTTTTCCTGCGGGGCGGTATGGGAAAACTGCCTTCTTGGACACAGATATATGGTATTTCCCCGGCTAAGTTAGGAAGCCACTGCATTCGATCTGAGCCTTCAAGAGGCTGAGAAGCGATTATTATTAATACTATTATTATTATTATTATTATCATTATTATTATTATCATCTCTGACGAAGGGGGGCCCGATACAGTATTGCGAACCAACATTCCCTCAAAGCTGCGCTATGTGCGCAGGCGTGCCTGGCAGTGTGCCGCGCAGCTTAGAGGGAACGCTGTTGCCAACTCTCATGTGTTTTGGTGTTTTTCTTAAAGCCTACACTTCAGGAATGTGAGAAACGTAGCTCTTTCTTTTACAGGCAGTCCTCAGACTTACAACACAAGCGGTCCCTGTGTTGTGCCCCAGCTCAAGTCTGGGATTGTGCCCGGTATGCAAAGGCCAATAAAGATACCAGGGGTGAAAGTACAAAGAAGGTTTATTGCTAGCAATAAAAGGTGCGAGCGGAATAATTCACGTAACAAGCACACCAGATCACTATTTCTAAGCATCTTTTATACAGGAGTTTTCAAGTTTTCACCAGCATGCTCGTTTGCTGATTGGTTATAAGTGAGTGACGCAAGAAGTTCTTTACTGAGCATGTCTCTATACCTGTGTTTTAGCTATGTATCTCATTTACATACATGTGTGTTTCATTAGCATACTACTTCCCCAGCTAGGGCCGTGATTTTTAGTATTTTAATGAGCCCTTTAACCCAGTACTCTGCTTCTTCTTTTGTTTTCAAGCCCCCTTTATCTAGGACTGTCTCCTCCTTATCATTAGCGTTCTCTTCTGCTTTGTCTTCGAGGAGAGGCTTCTAGGTCACTCCTTACATTTCCCCCCTTTGGAGCATTTTTAATTATTATTATGATTGCTCCATGCAATTTGGCTTAACACAAATCTAGTATCATCAGCTTTCTTTGTTTGTAAAATCATTTAATTTACCTTAGGCCTGAAGATAGATATAAAAACAGGTAAACATTGGATACAGCAACAAACCATAATCCCTATAACACAAAACAAGACAACTATACTAAATAACTGTCTCAACCATCTAAAATTGGGAAGCCAGGAATTTAACCAGGAAAAGTCTAAGCCAGATGATTCTTT